TCGATCTAAGATACGCAACTTCAGTAGCTGAAGTCGAAATACCTTAGATCAAATTACCTGGGGTCCACACGGCGCGGGATCGACAGCCACGGCTTCCCCGTCTACTGCGCTACCGCCGCTCGCTCTGGTGCAGTTCCGGAGTCGACGGTGAGCGTGTTTAGGGATCGATATATCGCGTCTTAACGATATATCGATCCCGGATAAATCGATTGCTACGGCGGGTAGTGAGGACATACCCTAAGTCTTAACTCATGCTTGCTAATCAGTGCCCACCTAACTGTGGCTTGTCTAGGCCAAATGGAGATAAGATCCTTGTCTTAATGTCTAACAACTTTCCATACCTTAGCTTCAGGCCATTTCTCCTTGCCACCATCATCAAAACCATGACGAATGGCTTTCCTTTGTTTTTAGTGTATTGAAGGAAGTATTTACAAACCTAGATCCTACCGGCTGTGTGCTCCTCACGCCAGTCTTCTCTTTGCATAACTCATGATCAATGCAGTTTTTTCCCTCTCTCCCCATGTATTAGAACTGTCTGGTGTTTAGAATAGGGGTCTGGGAGCCAGGACTTCTGGGTTCTAGTCTCAACGCTACACCCTGTGAGACTGGCAAATCATTCCAGCTCTCATTTTATCCATCTGTAAAATGGGACTAATACTTAATCTCACAGGTTGGGTGAAAAACTACATAAATTATCTGTGAAGAGCTGAATCTTGAGTTCACAAAGCAAGAAACCATAGTCTTGGGCATTGCTTCTGACTGCTGAATGTTCACTTGGGGGGAAAAAGGGAAATTAAACAGCTTGTAATACTGTCCCCTGTAAAACTCAGAGACTTAAGCCATATCTACACTACAACGTTAAGTTGACTTTATGTAAGTTGACAGCAAGTCTCCGAATTAAGCACGTCGATCTTGTGTGTCCACACCACGCTCACTGTGTCGGCGGAGTGCGTCCTCACTAGTAGTGCTTGCATTGCTGCACAGTGCACTGCACTGCGGGTTGCTAGCGCACACTGCAAGTAGCCGAATGGAATTTTGGGTAGGGCTTGCAATGCCTTATGGGACCAAAACATTGTCGCGAGTGGTAATGGGAACATGGTATTAGCCTCCCATGATGCACTTTCCTCCCTCCTAGAGCAACGGCAAACAAACCAAGGCTTTTTCACGTCTTTCAGTCGCGCAGATGCCATAGCCTGATAAGCACGGACCCCGCTCAGCTATGCACTCTTGATGTGAGCATTACAAACACCTTGTGCCTTAGCCTGCAGTATTTCTACAGCTGAGACAGGAACCGCCATGTGGAACATTGCGATGTCACACAAGCAGCCCTGCTGCAAGCCGTAGAGCGAAACAAGCCGCAGCTGCTGGGGGCAGTCGCACATCAGCTGAACACAGTTGAGCACCGTTTCTGATCCCGGGAAAGAAGCCCTGATTGGTGGGACCGGATCGTTATGCAGGGATGGGATGACGAGCAGCGGCTGCAGAACTTTCGAAAGCGGAAGGCCACATTCTTTGTGCAGAACTTTTCCCAGCCCTGAAGCGCAGCAATGCTAAAATGAGAGCTGCTCTGACAGTGGAGAAGCAAGTGGTGATCGCTCTATGGAAGCTTGCAACACCAGACTGCTACCGGTCAGCGGGGAATCAATTTGCAGTTGGTAAATCCACCATGGGAGCTGTTGTGAACCAAGTGTGCAGGGCCATTTAATTGACTTCTGCTAAGAAGGGTAGTGACTCTGGGCAACATGCACGACATAGTGGATGGTGTTGCCGTGATGGGGGTTCCCTAACTGCAGTCGGACGATAGATGGCACACATATCCCAATCTTGGCACCAGAGCACCTTGCCAAAGCGTACATAAACTGAAAAGGCTACTTCTCAATGGTGTTGCAAGCGCTGGTGGATCAGAGGCCAGTTCACCAACGTCAATGTGGGCTGGTCGGGAAAGGTGCATGACATGCGCATCTTTAGGAACACAGGTCTGTTCAGAAAGCTGCAAGCAGGGACTTTGTCCAGACTGCAAAAGAACCATTGATTATGTTGCCATGCCAATGGTGATCCTGGGAGACCCAGCCTACCCCTTGCTCCCATGGCTCATGAAACCTGCCGCCTGGACAGCTGTAAGGACGTTTAAAAGGTCATTGGTGCTGTTTGCTTACGAGGTTAGACCTCAGTGAAAGCAATATCCCCATTGCTATTGCTGCCTGCTGTGTGCTCCGTAATATCGGTGAAACAAAGGGAGAAAAGTTTCTGCTGGGGGTGGGTGGGTTGAGGCTGAGCGCTTGGCAGTCAATTTTGAGCAGCCAGATACCAGGGCAGAGCCCATTGAGAGACTCTGCAGCTCTGTGAGGTTTTGAAAACCAGTTTCAGCAATGACTCACAGTAATGTGACACTTACCTGTGGTGTTCCTTACCAAACTCTCCCTTCCCTTGCCTTTTCTCCCCTGTAAACTCCACCCCCACCAACCACCATGTGTGGAATGAACAAAGAGCCTTTTTTTCCCTCAATCCATTTTGTTTTATTATGCACACAAACACAGACAGCAAAAAAAGTAAGATAACTTGGGCAAAAGGACTGATAAGATTGTGAGGGGAGAAACAAGGAAAGCTTGTTTGCAGGTGCATTGCAGTAACCATAAAAGGTCTGGGAATGGGTGCCTTCAGTTCCTTGTACCCTCCCCTGGCGTCGAGGGCAAGGGCTACCAAACTCCCTCCCCCTCGCCCCGCCTCATAGAACATTTGGGGGAGGAGGATTGAGAACTGGGCAATGCTCGCAGGCAGTTCCGCATAGGCTGCAGAAGGAAACTAGCATCCCTCTGCCTTCCTTGAAGCTCAACTGGATGTCTCCACATGTCTGATTGGTCCTTCATAATCCACAGTATCTCAGCCTGTGTGGGAGAAGGCCAGGGGAGAGTGTGTGTGCGCCTGGGGGAGGTTGGTGAGGGGAGAGTGCAATTGAATATATTGTTGAACTGACACCATCACATTTCAAAAACCAACATCTGTCTTTATTAGTTTTAAAATCAAGAGTTCTCCTACTATCCGAGGCCCTGATCCTGCAAACACTTGAGCAGTGACATTGAACTCAAGTGTGCTATTCATGTTCATAAGTGTTTGCAGGCTCCGAGCCCTAGAGAATTAATTCAAAACTGGAAATTCTCCTTACACACAAATACAGTCAGCTACTATGAATGTAAGTGAGCTAACATATGCCCTCACCCAGCAAAGATTTGCCCATGCAGAGCTGATGGCAGGACCCGGGGCCTCTCTCTGCTGCCAGCTGGGAAATAAGAGTAATGTTATACGGCGGGCATGACCAGTGTGCTCAGAAGTGGATAGTACACCAAAATAACGACAAGCCCTGCACGGGAGAGATTAAAATCAAGAGCACCGATCCTACAAAGACTTAAGTGTGTGCATAACTTTACATCTGAGTAGACCCAGAGAGTCAAAAGGTGCTCATGTGCTTAAAGAGGACTGGGTCATTAGGCGTGGGCTGTGGGGCGCTAGGACCCTATGAGGTGGGAGGTTGCTCAGAGCTCAGGCTGCAGTCTGAGCCCAGAAGTCTACCCAGCAATGAAACAACCCTGCAGCCCGAGCCCAAGTTGGCCGGTTGCTGTGTAGACATATCCTAAGATACAGGAAAGTTCAGGTCACCCTGGATAGCACAGAGGAAGGAATAACATGGAGGTGGTGGTGGTGGTTTTTAAATGGAAGTGAACAATTTGGTGGGTGTTGGAGTGTTTAGGGGGGATCTGAATGTGGGAAAGGTTGCAACTTGGCGGACTGGGATAGGGACAGAAGTCTATGTATAGGAAAAACACACAGACATGAGGTGTGGGAGAAGGCGATATCTTTCAGTACCTACAGTCTGTGTTTCCAGAATATGCTGCATATAGCTACTTAAACAAGGATGCTACAGAACTCTGTGTTCTCAGGGTATGTTTCTCTTTTGTTAATTAGAACATTATATAATAATAGTGACTATCACGCAAGGATCTCAAAGCACTTTAATTGTTTAAGCCTAACAGCAATAGTGAGAGGTAGAGTGATATAATTATCCTCATTGGTAACAGTGGAAATGACATACTTAGAAGTTAAGTGACATGCCCCAGGTTACAGTGGAAATCAGCAGGAATAGCAGTAGGGGCCAGATTTTCAAAGGTATTTAGGCACCTACAGATGCAGATCGACACCTAATGGGATTTTCAAATGCTACTAAACAGATTACGTACCTAACTCCTACTGAAACTAGAAGTGAGGTGCCTAATTTGTGGAGACACTTTTGAAAAATCTCTTCAGGCACCTATCTGCATCTTGAGGTGTCTAACCACCTTGGCCATGGCACATTTACCACGGAATGCCGCAACATGCTCAGCGCTCGCTTGGTTGCCAAAAGCGGTAAGATCACCAATGGCTGACATAGGCTGAACCTCCAGCCAGCCCGGCTTAAAGACCTAGCTGGAGAGAGGATCCTGGTGGGCTCAACCTGTAAGGGTGCTGCTTCCTTTGGGAACGTGCCTTGAGGAGGATACCTTTGCATATCTGACCCGATGAGTTTTGGCCCTGCTCATGCAAAACCTGCTGTAAAAATTGGCTCCTCAGAAGAGAGGTTTCTTCTCAGGGAGGTGGCACAGAGCTAGCTGCGGTTTGGGGACACTTTCGGCCGCTCGCGAGATAGTAAGCTTCCTAAAGTTGGGTTCTTCTATAGGCTTCACTGTATTTTTATAATACACCTCTACCGCGATATAAGGCGGTCGTGGGGAGCCAAAAATCCCTACCGCGTTATAGGTGAAACGCCGTTATATTGGGGTAGCGGTGGCAGGGCTGCAGCGGTGATTTAAAGAGCCCAGGACTCCAGCCGCAGGGAGCCCCAGGCCCTTTAAATCGCCAACCGAGCCCCGCTGCCTCAGCCCCAGTGTAGCAGCGGCAGGGCTCCAGCGGTGATTTAAAGGGCCCGGGGCTCTGGCCGTGGGGAGCCCCAGGCCCTTTAAATCGCTGGCCGAGCCCCACTGCCTCAGCCCCGGTATAGCGGTGGCAGGGCTCCAGCAGTGATTTAAAGGGCCCTGGGCTCCCTGCAGCAGCCGGAGCCCCGGACCCTTTAAAGCACCGTTGGAGCCCCGCTGCTACCGCGCTATATGCGAACCTGTGTTATATCCGGGTCGCGTTATAGCGGGGTAGCAGTGTATTTATTAAGTTCAGGATATTGGATTTATCCCTTACATACCATGATCTGTTGTTCTTTTTTTTGGGTCTAATTTAGATTTTACGGGCCCCGGCCAAATTCTGATCAGTTACATTGGGGTAAATCCAGAGCAGTTCCACAAGAAAAGTTTAATCCACTCTGGTATAATAGATCATGTCTTCTCACATTTGCAAAGTGCCATGCACATGACTGGTGTTATATAAACAGCAATAGGGCTTCACAGTGCAAGCTTATAAGAGCAGGTTATTTGTTCAGTAAATATAACAAAGTAAATATATATAGTCGTATAAATTAATAATGAAAAAGGTTAACATCTGAGTTTTGTTTAATATTGAGACTCCATTTCTCTTATATATGGCAAAAACAGATCTCAGCATAATCAGAAAATAGTTAAAACTTTAGCAAAATCAAATTAATTAAAGATTTTTTCTGATCATTCCTTTGTGGGTTGTTTGTTTAAATATACCTGTATATTAAAAATAACTTCTCCTTTCTAAAGATATAGCTTCTATAAAAGGTTGCCTTGGAATGAAGTAGTTTCTCTTCCTCACTTAAATCTAAGTATCACATTAAATCTCTCTTAGCAAAAACTAATTCAGCAGTCTTGTACTATAAGCAACATTATCATCAGAGGCCTTCAAGCTTCCACACCTCAATTAAGTCAGTGAAATAGAAAAAATATCCCTGGAAGATCTGATCACATGGATCTCGGGGAAAATTCTGTGACATTTCCAAGTGGGGAGCATCTGGGGAAATCATTTCTAGCTCTGGGAAAAGCAGAAAATACTTTTTAATAAAGTTATAAATAAATAACGTTTTTTAAAGAGAAGAATGATTCAGAATTAATCAGAGATGGATTCAGAAAGATAATATTCTTTGATAGACTTTTCTTTGTGTGGGGAGGAAATTATATCAAAACCAGTATTCAAGTTAGACTGCAGAAATGGGCATGATCAAGGCAATGCCTCAGCCGATGTCAACCCTCAAGGGTTTGTCTTTTTCCGCCCTGATGGGATTGGAGGTAGGACGGGTTTGGTGTTGGAGCCTGGTCGGTTTGCAATCTGGGGCACATGAGGAGAACCAGACTTGGATTTGCTGGCTTTTTTTTCAAGCGTGTCACTAGAGAGTTCAGCGTCTGCAAGGATTAACAAACAAATTAGTAAGCAATTTCAAGGAAGTAAAGATTGTTCTCACTGAACAACACTATATAATCCTGCCATTGGTCTTCCTCTCTGGTACCCCACTCCCTCGCAAACACCACAGCAAGCAGACATTCTTTCAAAACTTGCACCAGCTGAGAAATCTGCGTGTGATTCAACTGGAACTTTCCCAGTGGAGAACGGATCTATACCGAGCCTGTGACCCTTAGTTCAAATGATCTTATAGGGGCCAAAGGAAAAGGAAGATGTAGTCTAGCTGGGGAACTCAGCCCAGAGAGGAGGATGGGGGCATGAGGCACCCGAACTACAACTCCCATGAAGCATCACAGCAAAATTTTTGCACTGAAATTTTTTGTGTTGTTTTTCAATAAAAAGTTGAAATTTTCAAAAAAATTTATTTAGCTGAAAACTCAATTTTCTGTTGAAAAACAGTTAACAGGAAATTTTCAACCAGCCCTAGTGACTACCCCTAATTCATAGAAGTGGAAAGTCAACTACATGCCAACATTTATTACCACCATTTGGTGTTCTTAAGACATGTACTATTAGAAGCTGAGACAATGTAATTGCACCGTAATCTGGATATACGTATACCCCGATACTCAGACCTCAGTGGTTCAGGAACCAAATTAGCGATCAACATTAGCCAAAGAGCCACAGTCATGTGAGTTCATTGTTTCATTTACTGCAGTACTATATATTCCTATTTAAACCCTATGAAAGGGGAAATATTTAGTTTGTTTATATATATATATATATAATTCTCAAAGCAAAATGGCTGACCAAGTATTATTATTTTATAAACTACAATTGGTTAATAAATAGTAAAAGCATCCTGATTGGTTAATAGCTTAGATTGGTTAATAATTAAATCACACAGTGTTTTAATATCACGTGCTGCAAAGAGCCGCGGATGCCACATTAAAGAGCCACTTGCGAGCCTCAGTCTGAGTATCACTAACCTACACGATAATTACCGGGCCCTTATTACAAAGGCTGAGCAAAAAAAGTAGATTATTTTGGAAAACAATTCAGACCTTTCAAACTTTCCATTCCATTGCGGACTCCTCCAATGTCCCCACATTCTGCATTGGCCTCTTCGGAGTATCGAGCACTAGGAACTGGGCTCCGGGCAGACAAGCTTTCTGTTGAAAATGCACCAGCCGAGGACATTATAGATAACCCACTGGTGGCACGTGATTCTCTGGAGCTGAGAGTGAGAATGGATTTATTCTTTCGTGGTAATAAAAACCATACACAGTGAGTTTGTTTAACATGACTTCAATGACACCAGTAATATTGTCAGTCAGGAGCCTGAAATAAAACATCAGACTCAGCAGTTATACAGCACTTTTCCCACACATGACAACACTTCTTTGGAGGTAGTAAACAAAACTGCCAGCACCCACTTTAATTTGTAATGTATTTAACCAATCACAGACAGGGAAAGAAAAACAGAGGTTCATGCTACAGTGTGAATCAGCTGGAGAGATGGGATTCGAACTCGAAGAGTTCCTGTTTGCCAATTCTATGTTCAGCATAATAAACGGTGTCTCTTAGTGAGTGATTTTGGGAAAAAATGAAGAATTTACAAAAATTACAAAGATCTATTTATTTAATAGAAGATCTGGGAGGCTCATAAGGAAATTTTAACATTATCTAGAAGACACATCCAGGCAGAATCAAAGGATGGTTTTGTGGTAAAGGCTCTAAACTGGGATTTAGAAGATCTGGTTTCAGTTTCCAGCTCTGGCACAGACTCCCAAGGTGATCTTGGGCCAGTCTCTTTCTGCCTCAATTCCCCTTCTGTAAAATGAAATGAATAATACCTCCTTTGTTCCACACTTTCTCGGTCTTGTCTATGTAGAGTGTACACTCCTCAGGGAAAGGACCATCTCTGACCAGGCATATGTACAGTGCCTAGCACAATGGGCGCGGGAGAAAGCAAGCACCTCTGTAATACTACTAATAAATAACCTGGCTGTTGGGTAGCCTATACAGAAGCAGTTGGTGATCTCACTTCACCCATCAGTGGGCAGGTCTCTGTGGCACAAAGCCACCTCTACATTTGGCTCTACTGTGGGAAATCAACATAGAGGCCAAGGCCTGAATGGACAGCTTGCCTGCAGGTCAACATGGACACAGATTAGCATGACAATGCTAGAGCCTGGGTTGTCACTTGTTCTGGGACTACATAGATTTCAGTCTCCAAGGGTGTGAATCCAGCATCTATAACAAACACTGAATTTGTTTAAGCAAAAAAATGCTTGATGCACAATTACTGCAAAGAAGTACCAGTAAATACCCATTTTAAACAAGAAATCACACAGAAACTTTTAAGAGACTGTAATAGACATTTAATAAAGTCCATCTTTACACAACAGCTGTTCTGGCCTATTGTGTGAAAGAAAACATTGATTCGTAGATTCTAAACTTGGGACCATTCTGGTTATCTAATCTGACCTCCTGCACAAGCCAGGCCAGAGCATTTAGCCCAATGAGTCCTGCGTGGAGAGCAATTACCTGTGATAACACTGTGATTAGAATGTCTTTGGGGGAGAAGGGAGAATGGTTTAAGGAGCAGACAAGGTTATGAACTGGCAGAGCCTTTGAAATAAAAAAATAAGGAAATTCAAAATATGAGGGGGAAAGAATCAAAAGAATGAGATACAATAGTGGCATAAAGCCCAGAAAAAAACACCAGGAAATGATCTTTACTGAAGGCCTGATCCTGGCCCATGGACAGCAATGGAGATTCTGCCATTGACCTCAATCCGAGCAGGATTAGATCCTGAGAAGTCCTAAACATTCACATCTCTCGCTGAAGTCAATGTGACCTGGGGGTGTCCTGCTAAAGCAATGTGCTTAACCCTAACAGTGATCTCCCCATAATACCCACCAGGCGTCATTACAGGATGGCAAAGCAATTCCTGGGAGTTGTAAATCCAGGCTAAGATTAAACAGCAGCTTTGGGTTTTTCAAAAATATCAGTGCCAATGCAAATACTAGTTTCTGAAGGGTCAGCTCCCTGCTCTGCTATTCTAGAACACAGCCCTGCATCTGTCTCCTAACAGAAACTAAAAATAAATCGCATTGAGGTTGGAATTTAACCCCCCGTCGATCTCTATATAGTATACATGAACATGTCATGTCTGACCGCAATGGGATACAATCCAATGCAATAACAGGCAATTCTGAGTTGTCTTTCAGTGTCCCTGAATAGCGACGGATTACGATGTGGCATTTGTGACACAAGGTATATAACTAACGACAAGAAAAACGCTTGATGTCTTTCTGTTAACTCATCCCTCACACCTGGTGAGTTGTAATAAATCGTATCAGGGGTTCTGCTAGGGTGACCAGATAGCAGTGTGAAAAATCAGAACAGGGAGTGGGGGGTAAGAGGTGACTATATAAGAAAAAACCCTAAATATTGGGACTGTCCCTATCAAAACGGACATCTGGTCACCCTAGGCTCTACTGATAAGTCTGATACGGGCTGTGCACAAAGGGTCCTGATCCTTCATTGGGCCTCTAGGCATAAATGTAATAAAAATAAACAATCATATACTACAAGACTCCTGAAAAGTTCCTCAGCATGAAAAACAAATACCAGTGAATTGGGTGGGGTAAGCAGGGGTTATATGGCCCCTGCCATCACAGAATCTGAGTGCTTGTCAACTCATTGACTTTCAGTGGGAATTGGGCACCTAACTGCCATTTGTGCCTTTGAAATATCTCCCCCAGGCATTATCCCAGCCAAGCATTCTGTAAATCAGTTCTGATCATCTAGCGCATCTTCAACCCCTCACTATAAGGGCACTGGGAAAATAATTAGTGTATACAGTTAGGTAGGGATGGCCAGGCTTCTCTTCAGAATTTACTTTTCTCCTCTTTTCCTTCCACCAAGACAAATTCCCCACCCCGTGACTCTGTTAAAGTGAAAAGAACAGAAAACAAGCATACTCAAAATAGGACAAGGAAGTGGAATAATGAGATCATAGTGCATATAACCGATATATATATAAAAGAAATACATTGAGGATTAAAGCACTGGACTATAAGGGGGTCTCATATGTACACTCACTGTACTGTATGTAACTGTACTGGACTGCAAAACAAATTCTCAGCTCTAAGATACATAATTCCATGTTAACACATGACATTGCAGCAGATCAGTGTTTTCCATTGCATGTTGTATGGTGGTGATGGGACCCTTAACATTAATTAATTAATATTTTCTGGGTCAGACCCTCAGCTGGTGTAAATCAACCTAGCTCCATCGAAGTCAATGGAGCTGCACTGATCTACACCAGCTGAGCATCTGGCTCCACGTCTGCACTGGCTAAGGGACCAGTAACAACCAAAGTTGTTTAGGCCCTGTGTGAAGATACGTGGAGAACCCACATTTATGAGGGAAGAGATTAGTAACCGGCAGAGGCTATCCGAAGTCTAGGAAGCGTGGATCATGGGGCCTTCTTCTGTGGGACCATGGAGGGTTCGGCCCTGACGTTCACCTGACAAGGTAGAGAGGAGATCACAGAAGGAAAAGAAGGCCAGAGGTGTGCTGAAAGAATGCAGGTCCCTGTGCAGCCACCCACTAGACATGTGCTCTGGGCTGGCCCTTGGAACAGAACCATGGGATTCCTGTTTTCTATTCACAGACCAGCTACAGTACTGAGCATCACCGCACTAAGGCCTGCAGGCCTCCTGCTTTAAGGGATAACAGTTGGTTCGGTTTCCATAACAGCTCAAACTAGGGCAGTAACTGACGAATGTGATGAATTACGCATAGAATTTGGGACGCTCCCCAATGAGTTCTCCACCTCATTAGTTGGCCCTAATCCCAGAGGTGAGGAGACAGTGCTTTGTTTGCTACGCCCACAGGCCAGTAATTCACATTTGCACCATACGCTTACCGCACGCGACTTTTCATTCTACTGCTTCTGCCATCCCAAATGTTGGAAGCATGGAATTGAAAATAAAAGAATATTAATTCACCTCAATACGCAAACCAAAAATACCCACCACAGGTCTTAGCATTAAGTTTCTGAAGTGATGTTTTACAAAAGCACTAGAGGGAGTCTATACAAGAGCATTGCCATCCTGCCTATGAACAACTCTCATCCAAGCCTTCATTATTTTTCCTTGCAAGAGGATCTGACAACATGACTGTATATTTTGCTGTAGGCCTGATGCACGCACAGAAAATGAATCCGATTAGCAGTTTGCTTTCTCTCTCCTCACAGTTGTTTTCCCACTGTGTTATTAAGAGCGTTAAATGAAAACACTGCTAAAGTCAAAACACCAAACTGTGCTAGAGTGGAAAGACACATTTATTCCCATATGTGAAGGGCTTTAACGCTTTTACAACTCATCATAGCTTCACACTCACTAGGTTATGGGTCTTGCCTCTTTACTGGTGTGGGCAGATGATGCATAATCCCTTGGCAACCTATTATGCACTGTGTCTCTCTCATGCATTCACTCTGTTCCCTTCAGCACACTCCAATATGGTACAAGTACACAGTACAATCTAATCCACAGAGACCTACCATTTCAACATTTTTACAGCGTGTTAATTAACTTCTGTAATTACAGTGGCCGGCTGGACAGCATATAGTGGAAATGTATGAGCTCTTTAAGATTTAAACAGAACAGTCAGTGTATTTCACCAGCAAGTTTATCCACAAAAAAGCAAGAACTCTGCAGCCTAAAGGACAAGGGATAAAGTGAACTGCAAAGGGATTGTGGATGTTTTGCATCTCTCACGATCAGACCAAGACACTGTCGACGTACACAAGTTTTCAAGCACTAATTAACACTACCTTTTTAGAAAGGTAAAAAAGACATACAGAAAAAAAAAGATCCCTTTCAAATACCCCTGGAAAGGGACTATGGTCTGTGTGGAACGAGAATGGGACTGGCAGTCAGGAACCAATAAATTCTAATCCTGGCTTTACCACTGACTCACTGGACAAACGAAGGCAAATTAATTCACCATGCTGTGCCTCAGTTTCCCCTTCTCTAAAAATGAAGATTAGACTTCCCTATCTCTGTCTCCTACCTGGAGTAGAAGACCGAGGCCTATCTCCCCAACCTCACAGCAGCAAAGGATCACTCAGAGGTTTCCCAGCCAGGAGCAGGAGGAACTGGGAGTTCAGTGCTCGAGGCTCTAGCTGCCCCCCGCCCTCAAGCTCTTTGCCATCCTTGACTGAGAGGGTCCAGGCATAAGAAGGGGTTATAACAAAGGCACAGGGACACAGGGTGGGAGGGTTGGATAGAGTGAGCAGGAGGGATTGCTGATGCTGAAACAATCCACACAATCAGAATTTGAGGAAACAGGGGTATCACCACCAGCCCCTCCCGGCCCAATGGTATTCCAGTCACCACCAGTATCTCCTTATGTAGGAGACAGAAAAACATTGTGGTCTCCTGGATACCACTGTGCAGTAACTGTTGGTAAATTATGACTTTAAATAGTGATCACTCTAGTTTTGTTTCTCTACGTGGAGTCCCAGTCTCTTCCATTCTTCTCCCCATCCTTTACCATTTTTTCCTTCCCGTCTCCAACATGCCCCTTTAAAAACAAAGCTCGTGAAATCTTCAGTCTGCAGCTAGGTCATCCACATGAGTTACAGCACTTATGCACTATCATCCCCAGGTTCTGTTTTACATTGTAGCAACATGTGTTTAGCAAGGCGACTGATGTAACAGAGGAGACACCTGCATTAGTTGGAGAAATGGTTTTAAGTCTTGTGCGATACAGCATTATCCTTCAACCTGTCCAGCAATAATCTGTTCATCCAACAGCTAAACTCACCTGGTGTCTGGGCTAGCAGGGGGCAGACTCCGGTCTTGGGTGACATTACTTCCACTTGGGAGCATAGAGGTATATGATGGTGGCTCCAGTAATCTGTGTGGGCTGATCGCTGCGGGGGTACTTGCAAGATGCCTGAAATGACATCAAAAGAAAGTTAATCAGGCGGTGCATACATTCATGTACGATAATACACTACTTTCAACACATTGATCTAGTGTCCTTCATCAGAGTATCTCAGAGTGCTTTATAAAGCTGGGTTAGTATTATGCCAATTTTACAGATGGGGAAAGTGAGCCACAGAAGTTAAAGCCAAAACTTCCCATAGCTCCTAGATTTTAATGGGAATTCTGACAGCACCTTTAAAACTCAGGCCACTAATGTAGATCTCTAAATGGACATAGGTGCCTAACTTTAGGTGCCCATGTTTGAAAATTTTGGCCTAAGTGACTTGCCCAAGGTTACGTATCAAGGCACCAACTGCAGCAGTAAGAGAAAGCAGGAGTTCAGACTCCCAGTCCCCATCTCTGCTTAGTAGACCACGTTGTAATAAAACTTGTGTGGTACAACAATAAACACAAACTCCTGGAACTACAATCAGTATTGCATCTATGCGCTCCTGATTCCAAAGTGGTAAGCTAAGCAAATTTGTTTTAATGAAAAAAAAAATGGTTTTGATCTATTAAAAGATGCTATGCCTGTTAAGGGTGAGCTTTTCAAAAGCACTCAAGTGATTTAGGAGCACAGGTCCCATTTGAAAGTCTCGCCTACAGCATTATTTTTCTCATCATCTTGTGTCTATTATTAACAAGGCCTGGAGTTCCTTCTTCATGTCTTCTACAACAGTCACTCACGGTAACATCTAACAAAACGTAACCCATGCTAACTGTAGTATTGCCTCCATTTTATATATAGACATTAGTCACAGTGCCAAAGAGCACTGCTGAATTTCCAATGTAAGAGAAGTCCCTCTTAAAATGTTTTATTTAAAATTAAGTTACAGCTCTTAAAAGATGTCCTTTATCTATCCTATGTACAGGTGTAGCAGCCATCTTGCTGATACACCCCAACTCAGCACTGAAGGAACCTCTTCTAAGGGTGACCAGCCAATTTAAGTGCCATGTCCCCTCATTATTTAGCTCTTCTGCTAAGATTGCCAATAATGTTGTCAATTGCAGAAATGGTTTGTAGATCCTTGTCCCATAGAAATCACAGATACTAGAATCACAAAAGATCTTTTAGGTTGTCTAAACCAACCTTTGTCAATGCAGGACTGTTCCCTATTGTACGTTTTCTAGTGCTTTGTCCTGTTTATTTTTTTTAAATGTCTCAGTGATGGGATTGTCACCAGTTTCCTTGGGGAATCATTCCATAGCCTAACACATCTCACTGCAAACAGGATTTTTCTGCCATTGGTCTTTCATTTGCCCTTTCTTAGTTTCATCCTATTAATCCTACTTATAAATAAATCTCCCTTAAAGTGAGACCACAAGTATCTATTGCATAGGCCACCAAACGGTTGCCAGCCAGTAACAGCTTTTGGTCATTATTGGCCTGAACCAATTACATAGAGAAAAAAGGTCCTTTATCCCATTGCCGGCCCTCAGAGCCATTGATGGCTCTCAAAAGCCTTCTAAATCAATGTCATGGCATTTAAAAGAAACAGAAAACAACCCTCCTCCCACACACATATCCTAACAAATATCTCCACTCAACATGCAATGCTGAAACACGCAGCTCGACAGCAGAGGTTAGGAGAGCTCAGACAGAAATCTGAGACGAGGATACATCATGCACCACTTCCGATGGAAGGTCACAGTCTAAGGACTTGTCCGCCACAGGAAAATGGACTCTGCTCCCTGAAATGAAGGCTTTGATTCAGAATCAGTGACCCATTCTCAAAGGCTAAATCCCTACTGATAGATACACTTAAAACAACCAGCCAGACAATTGAAAGAAACGTGTTTTAAAAGGCTTCACAGGGATTTCCCCCTCCCCGCCAAATCCCTTAGTTTTCACACTGACAATTGAGTTTGTGACTGTCATTAAGGTTTTGTCATCAGTTTCATTAGAAACATTCATATTCAGGGAGTTTATAATTTCTGTTGCTCTCGGTTGCTGCAGTTGAATAAGAAAGAAAAACATGTCAGCTAAGTTAAATGACACACTCTGAAGCATATGCAGTGTTGATGTAGCCATGTTGGTACCAGGATATTAGAGAGACTAGGTGGGTGTGGTACTATTTTTTATTGGAACAACTTCTGTTAGGGAGAGAGAGGAGCTTTCGTGCTTCCACAGAACTTCTGAGTATATTTCAGTACTTCTGAGTACATTTCCCAGACCTGAAGAAGAGCTCTGTGTAAGCTCGAAAGCTTGTCTCTCTCTGAACAGCACAAGCAGGTCCAATAAAAGAAATGACCTCATCCACTTTGACACTCTGAAGAGGACATCCATGAACCTAGGGCCACAGTTACTGCCTCTTTCTTTCTGCCCCCAAAATGGGCACAGAATAATGTGGCAAAGCAACATTATGTTGTACCTGTATCCTGTACCCATCAACCCTTAACCAGGGGGCGGGGCTACTCAGGAAGACCAGGGCTTTAAAAAGCCCATTCCAAAGCGACCAGAGGAGCTAGCGAACAGGAGCGGCTAACGGGAGTTTTGCGAGGGAGTTCTCCAGGGAAAGGGTGTGGGGGGGGGGAGGGGATACATACACTTAACATTCCTTCAAGTATCAGAGCGGTAAGTGAGTCTGGATCTGTAAAAAGCAACAAAGAGTCCTGTGGCACCTTATAGTCTATAAGGTGCCACAGGACTCTTTGTCGCTTTTAACATTCCTTAAACTTCTTGAAACTTAAAGCCAAAAACACCCCCTGATAAAAACAAAACAAGAACAAAGGAACAAGCTTCAGGAGTAAACAGAGAATGCAGGCAGAAGTCCAGCAACAGAGTGGGGGTTCCCCAGTTTATTGCACCCAATGCAGCATATATGATTACCTGCCCTATGGGCAGGTGGTGAATGTGTTCCTTTGGTGCAAGGAGCTTCTGGGCCTCAGAGACCACGTATGGGCTTTGGAGACCAGGATGGCTGAACTGGAAGAGCTAAGGGAGATAGAGAAGTACATAGAGGAGACTTTCCGGGACACAGTAGAATGGTCCCACCCCCAGTCTGAAAGCCTCTCTGCTGTTGAGGAGGGTGAAAGTCTCAGGGAAGAAGAGCATCTAACTGGAGCAGAGGGAAACGATCCCATAGTTGGGATCCTCCTTCTAGATGATGTTGCGGTATCTTCTCACACTGAGGATACCTCTCCGGGGGAGGGAACTCTAGTTATTAGGAAGAGACAGGTATTAGTAATGGGTGATTCGATCATTAAAAACATAGATAGCTGGAGTACTTGTGGCACCTTAGAGACTAACAAATTTATTAGAGCATAAGCTTTCGTGGACTACAGCCCACTTCTTCGGATGCATCCGAAGAAGTGGGCTGTAGTCCACGAAAGCTTATGCTCTAAT